CCCCCCACCCGCCCCTAAGCCCAAATCAAACCAGAGAACACACCTCCTTTTGCTCCTTTGTGACAGCTGGAGGTGGCAGCCACTCAAGTCACTATTGGCCTAAGCGTGTGCGTGTGCGTGCGCGAGATGTGGCTAACTTTCCCCTCGACCCCCACACGGCCCCTCACAGCTCTGAACAGCGAGCGGCGGAGGGCGCTTTGAGCGCCAATCTTTCATTTTCCTTGAAGCACGTTCACAGTCCCCCGCAATTCTCCCGACACCGCAAGGCAACTTTGTTCAGACTATCACAGCTCTGTTACCACGACAGCAAAACTGCATTCAAACTGCAAAACATTGCAACTTAGTCAGATCATAGCACAACTCTTACTCACACACACACACACACACACACACACACACACACACACACACACACACTTCCTAACCAGATGGCTGACCAAATAAATAAATAAATAAATAAATAAATAAATGCCGATTTCTTTGGAGGAGCCCGAGCAATGTGAAATGTGACAAAAAATTGCACTGCAGACTCAGAATAAATAATTTACTGACTTGACTTTGGAACGTATTGATATTATGGAGGCTTAATGGTAAAAGAATAGCTTTTTTTTTTTTTTTTTTTAATGAGCTTGCGCATACCCCGTGGCATTCTGGGAAACAATGCTGTCTGTAGCCTTTCACCTGCAAGTACCTTCAAACGTATTTGCCAGTCAAAATATTTTTACTCCACATTGGCAGGTCCACGCTTCTACACTGCTAGTCATTCTCAAAAGGTTGTCTTTTTTTCTTACTCAAAAAACACACTTTTTAATTTGTTTTTTAATCATATTCATGACACAAAACAATTCTATTATCCTAATAAAATATTGAAACTTTACCAAAAAAACAATTCTAACTTTCATCTTGAAAAATATCTTTAAAATGTCTTTGACCCTTTCAGGGACAGCGGTTACTACAGTGGACAGCTTATCATGTTATCAGGTTGTCATGATTGCTGCATGTAAGGGTTAATGTCCTCCAAAATGCAACTCTTTATTTAAAAAATAATAATAATGATAAGAACCAAACAGAATTTGTATCTAGAACACTACTTGGGTTCTTGAAAAATAAATCTCCAGCTTGCCAAAGGCTTCATTCCACCTTCATGGAAGGGATCCAAACCAAGTCCTCGAGTTTTCCATGTGTGGACTAACGAAAGCCCTTCGCCATTATCACATTCCTCAGTGTGGTTGACGTTTGGACAAAAGTGTGAGCGCTCCTCACAACACATCACTCAGAGGCAAGAATTTTTTTTTTCTGGAGGCAGCTCATGAATGACACGCCGGCACGGTAAACATCCACAAGCGCTCGGCGGCAGTCGGGGGATGTGAAAAGATTTCCCCGCTGCCGTGCCTTTTGTGTCATCGTGCTAGCCCGGCCGCCAATCTGCCGCCACTGCCGGGATGCCACTCGGACAAAAGAGGTGCCGCGGCACCAAAAGGGTGCCCCTTGAACCCCTGCCGGGGATATAGTCGCAAAACTTGAGGAGGACGACGACTTGAGATGAAGAGGCAAACAAAAACAGAGTGCAGCGGGAGAAGAGAAGTTTTCGCCATTCATAGTTGGTTTCCATTCTTCTGAATTTTGGGGAATTTTGATTTGTTTGGGCCCAAGTTTTGACAGCTCTGAAGTCCCAAGTCTATTTGTCAAAATTATTATGACTATTATTATTAAAAGAGCAGATGAATGAAATGTATTCTTCTTTTTGCGATTTTTTTTTTTTTTTTGACTGGAAAGGTGGTTTCTTTACGCTTGTTGCCGTTCTGCAGAAGCAGCAGACGACGAGGCCAAGCAACATTTAAAAAAAAAAAAAAAAATGGCAGACTTCCTCTTTGGACGGTAGCAGAATATCAAATACATTACTCAGGTGTTGCATCACGCAAAAATAAATAAATAAACAAAACTTTGGAAGTGAGCACACGCCGTGAACTCGAAAGCTACACTTGAATTTGTTTGTTCAACTAACCGACAATTAAGTTTAAATACGTAAGCAAAAAGTTGATGTTTATAGCAATCAAAATGCTGATTTCAACTTTTTCAGGGTGTAAATGATAATGAATGACAAGAGATGAACCAATCCCTCGGCTTATCATGCTTCAGTTTTTGTGGTCACACAATGTGGCGGATTTTTAAGTTGCACATATCTTAAATTTTATCATTGCGCATTTTTCGCCATCTCTTTTTTGGGGAGCTCATTTTTGACACGGAGACTAACGTTAATGCGGATTCATGGAGCATCTGTGAGATTTTATTTTGAGAATCAAAAAAGAAACACTGTCTCGGGGTATATTGATAAAATTTGTCCTGACTCAAATTAAATCCGTATTTATCTTTTTTTTTTCCTCCATAAATGAAGGAAAATTTGAAGAGGAAAATATACAAAATAAAAATGAAACAATGCTTAACATGAAGTTAAGTAAAATGTTCAAAAGAAAATTGACAAAATAAAACAAAAAAATAAAAACTTTTGTCCGCTGAAGCTACGGGAGCGCGACATCAGGGTGCATCATGGGAGACGCAGTCTGTATGTACGTCTGCCCGCTGGCAGCGAGCCAGCCCGGAGGCGGACGAGGTGCTCCCGCGTCCCCGAAAACCAAATTTCACGCTTGAACTTGGGCCAGGGCGAGCGAGTCGGGCCGATGCTAATGAGCACGCCCGTGCCGCCGCCAACCGCTTGCCAACAACATCCTGACATATTTATGATCATACATTTTAAGAAATATTACTTTTTATAATATACCTTTAATGTATGAAGTACATTTAAGGATCTCAAGAATGCCGTAAAAATTAAGAGTCAAAAATAAAATAGAATTATTAGATTTAATTGGACAAATAGAATGAGACTACATTATTTGTAATAATTATAACAATATTTATAGTATCAATAGCTTGTATTTAAGATCGCACCTTTCGAGGAATGTAAGGGCACTGATTAATAAGAACCACATTGAATTAACGGTCGGGTGAAAAAAAATTTCACGACAACAGTTCAGCGGCGCCACTTCATAACGTCGTTATTTGTGAATCGGTGCACACCGAATGCTTAGCATCTAAACTAGCACCTAAGCTAGCACCTGCGAGGCGGTGCAACTTCCTCAATGAATCCAAGTTCATTTTGAGAGTGCGACAACAAACAAATGGCACCCATGAGGCCGCGTGGCCCACTACCTTGATTCATCCCAATGGATTGAAGGGTTTTAAAATACGACTTATGTCTTTGTATTAATTTTATAAGTGACTAATTGTTCATGAATGACGTTGACGTCATTTTGGTGTCGATGCCCTTTGAAAGGTGGCGTGTTGTCCTCTAAAACGCGTCGTGAGATAAAGCTCCATCAGTATTCCGATCTTCGCCCGCATCGGGATGAAATGATCACTTGGCTCAAATCTACAATTGTCTATTATCTTTTTTGCTTCGTCTTTTGGCTCAAAGCGAAGTGAGCGAGCGCGAGCTTTGGAGGAGGATGAAAATATATATATATAAATATATATAAAATAAATCAAGCAATCTTTTTCCCTGCATTGGTGGTCTGATAAAAGCTGCCAAGGTCAGACCACCTGCGGGAGATTGCGGGCTATTTGCAGGCAGGAGAGCGCACACACCTGACGGGCCACGTTTCAAGGATGCGCAGTCAACACCTTTCAGCATTTAAGCTCAAATCTCTTCTCTTCTTTTCCTTCACAGACTTCAACCCTCTGAGAATTCATTCGGGACCGCAGGACAGACTCGGATTGGGGGACGATGAACAAACAACACATTCAAAAACGACTTGACAATAATAATAGGATAGACACCGTTTTGTTGGTTCTATGCTTGGCGGGCGAATTGGTTCTTGGATTGGCTCACGACTTGATTCTAGACTTGACTTTTCACATGGTTCATAATGTGGTATGGAATTCTTTTACGAGCGGAGTAATGGCCCCATCATCTAGATTTTTGGCCTGTTTTACTACCGCTTCTCCTCTCTCCTGCCCCCCTGTGATCCCTTCTCAAGGTTTCGTCCTTTTTGTCCCCAAATGGTTTTTGGAGTGTATCCTTGCCTGGATGGGGAGTTTAGACCGGAGGGTTTCATCAGTGTTTGTAAATTGTGTCCCGCGAAACCCTTACAGACCTTTAAAATGCTGTGAAAACAGATCCAAGGACCATGTTCCTAAATTGTATATATATCAACCATAAAGGGTACTCAAGCAGAACCTTTGGGGGCGAGGGTCGAAATGAAAAAGGCATTGGAACAATAACAGACACATTTTAGCCGTCTCGGGTTGGATTCCTCATAATTGGCTCACGCTTACAGGCCGCTATCGATCCCATTGACTGATTCTTAACCCCCTACTCGCCACCCTCCTCGTTTCTCCCACTCAATCTCCACCTCTCTGACTGACACGGGGCATCATCGGTGCAGACTAACTGCTGGATCGATAGGCGAGTGCAGTCTATTCGCTGCAGAGGCCGAAGAGAATAGCGCTAGAATAGCAATGATGACCGAGAGATGCCGACGCTCTTCTTTGTCTTCATTATTACTGATTTGATCATATACTTTAAAATCCAATTAGTTCTCATAACCTAAGACAAAAAGTATGCAAATCGGTTTCACTTAAAAAAAACAAGTAAACTAGTTCATTTTAGTCATCTAAGTAATTTGTATTTTTAAGCATGCAAGTCATTGTTGATTAATAAATACTAGTCATAAAGGTATATTTGGGATAACCTAGTAAAGTTAACTCATGTTTGCATGTCAGGGATTTTACAGTGTAAGAAATGACACTCATAATAAGGGCTTTTAGACATTGTCATTTTCCCATACTCTGGACTTAACTTCAGCAAGTAAAACGTACTTACCTCTTTCAACACCCTTAGCTCTGCCCCGGTGGTCATGGTTAACGAAAGACGTATTCCCCCAATGGCCCCACCAAACAGGCTAATTTCCGCAATGTCAACATCTGAGACCAGGGTACTCACATCTGCAACTCCCGCCTCCAGGATGCGGAGCTTGGCTTCCTTCTCCAGCGACGCTTTCTGTTCCACTGCAACAAGGAAGATTCCAAAAGACAAGTCATTCAGGTGCTAAGCCATGTGTATTTTTACCATTTGTGGGCGACGCATTCGGAACGGGACGGCGGCCAACCCAGAGCAAGGAGGCACATGAAATTCCAAGTCATCAACTCTTCTCGATGGAAGAAGCCCCGCATCAAAAGTTCTTGAGCTGGCTTTTGACTTGTTTTTTTGACTAGGTTGTTGACTTAATTTTTGAGTTGTTTATGGACTAGATTCTTGAAGAGGTAATTGTGTTAGTTCTTGAAATGGTTCTTGACATGTTTTATCAGAGGTTTGTGAATTGTTTCTTGACAGTGTTGGACTAGGTTCTAGACCAGATTCTTGACATGGTTCTTGACTATGTTCATGATTAGGTTATTGACGAGTTCTTGCCTTGGTGTTGAATTTTTGGCAAAGCAAAGGAAATGAAGTCAAATCAAATTCTTCATTTTTTTTTCCCCCTTCCCCAACAATATTCCATCTTGTCGCAGTGTGACAGTAAAAAAAAGGAAGTTGGTGTTTAAAAAAAAAAAAAAAGCTAATCACATTTGTACATGAAGGCCGCCGTTATTTTCCCTCCAAAACACACAGAGGCGCTTCATTTGTCACACGGGGCGGCCCTGTCCTGAGCTGTGCTTTATGTTAACTCAATGTAAGCCGGGAGCCGAGAGGGGAAAACACAGCCAGAAACGGCTCATTTTTCACTCTGGACAAAAGGAAAGGGCCTGGGCTGGCAGAATGAAGCGCTGCCAGCACCACTGGCTCATTATTTCCACCATTAAGCACCCGGGCCGCCCCCCGCCATCCACCCCACGGCCTTGCCGCTGCATCTCTGGAGTCGTATAATGAGAAGAAAACAACGGCCATCCCTCAAATGCTGAGGCGGGGATGAGGCAAGCGGGCAAGAGGGGGGGCGGAGGGAGAACGTATCACCGTACTGTCGCCGCGGCGACAGCATAGATGTAATCACATTAGTTGATCACCGCAGCCGTAGTCCAAGAGAGTATAAATCACAGAAAGTGAAGCCCGGCGTCTTCCCAACATCTTGCTGATGTCGACTCCATCAATGAAATACCACTTTTAGTGACTAATGCACTACAACAAGACCTGAAAATGACACAGATTTTGTTTCGGATCTGATTCTCAGAATGAAGAGTAATCTATGCTTTGATTTTTGTGAAATAACAGAAAAACAAATATGAAATCAAATCAAATAAAAAGACTGCTTAAGGCATTCATTCCCAAAGTATCGGATCAGGACTTGGTACTCAAGTGACTTGGAACCCAGGTGGGAAAAAAAAAAAAGTGAGTGAGACATCTCTAATTTTTAAAATAATATGAACATGTAGGAATTTTTATGACCGTAACATTTTATTATTTAGCTTATTACGGTTAGCATCATATACCCCCCGTTGCTATAGTAAACCAGCATTGGATGAAACAAAAAGAACAATATTAAATTTTTACTTCAACACATCTCCAAGTGTCCCAATACTTTTGTCCAATCTGCATTTTTTTTCGTGCACATAGCCCCATAGTTTTGGTCAAATGTCCTTCCGTTTTCACTTTTTGTATATGTCTCAATACTTTTTGGGCAAATACTTTTGTCCAAATGTGTTGGCTTCTCATTTATAGTTTGGTCCAAGCGCCGCAGTTGCCCTACAGGTAAAGTTCCTACGTGAGATCGGGGCCAAACACTTTGAGCACCCCCCGCCCTGCTTTTTTCCCCCCTACAAATCACGTCTGCCACGTGAGAACTTGTTTCTTCTTCTTGTTTGCTCCACCGCCAAGCGCAAACACATCAATATCATCATCAGCGCCCGCAGGCTCGCTAAATCCAGGATAAGAGATCCCGCCGCCACATCTTGTCCTGCGGGTATTCTTTAGCAGCAACTGATCAGCAGATCTGATAAAGAAAGGCGGAAAAAAAAGCCGCCTCGATGTCATCTTCAAATTTTAATGCCGTGAACCTGCGTCCCGTCTGGTTGTCGCCTGCAGGAATGCCAGCGGCTCCAATGGCGGGAGTTTAAAGTGCAACTGACGGCAGTCCGGGAATAATGTCAAACAGCTCTGGTGACCACTCCAACTTTTGCAGGACCACAAAACTTTTGCATCGTTGTCTGCATGAAAGGTGGAGGGATAAGGGCCTCACTTTTTGGTCGGTTTGTGTGAAAGGGACCGAAACAATTTTAATATGTGTAATCGGGTTTATATAATACCGATTACACATCATTCTACTGTGCGCCATCTGCCACCGTGATTTGGCCCCACAGCGCCAACGAGTGGCCCGGCATGTACACTACAACTCCACACATCTTGTCTTCAAAGGCGCCCGCATGTATCTTTTCAAATTCATATTCCCCAACATCTTCCCTGCTCTTCAATGGCCACCGCTGATAAATAATATCAAAGCAGAAAGATCTCTTTATGATGCAAAAACACACGCAGACACAGTAGGAGGGGTGGGGGGGGGAGAGAAAGGTGGAGGTGCACTGCACAGGATATTGAAACTGAAGCAGCTGGAGAAACATAACACGTCTTTCGTCAGACGCACATTAAAGTGCAAACAGGACGGGCGACAAAGACCGAGAGATTATCAATAACACACACACACGGAGGCAGGTGATGAGACACTAATAGGCAATACAAGAAAGCTATTTACACTTCAAGGTGCTAATGCAACACTTAGCTCCATCTTACTGCCACCAAAGTAGTCGCACGCACGCACACTTGCGTATTTGTGTGTAGGACATTCGAATCGTTTTTTTCCAAGCATCTTCACCTCGACATTCCTGTTGAGAAGTGTCATCACTAACCTCAGGACACACAAGGTTTGGTTCTCATGGTCATAGTGCTATCACCATAACGACACACACATATACACAAAGACACACACGGTCATACATGAAAACACACATACACATTCATACTCAGTGACACAGTCACACAAAAAAACGCAAGCGCTCGCACGGAGGCACGCACGCAATTTTTGTCTCGCTTTGCCCTGCCCATGAGCGACCAGTCCGTCAGTCATCTCCATCTGTCCGGCAATTGCCTAGTGACCAGTCCAGGGTGAATGGATGGTCTGATGACTTTATAGAAGGTGTCAATGGTGAAAAACACAAATGACAGGAAGTGAACGTTCCAAAAAGAGGGCGGGGCAGGAAGGGTTTGAATAATTCTGCTGAAAAGGATAAAGTTGAAAGGTGGGGGCGTGTCTGAACGTGGCAAGCGCTCAACTCAAAACAAAGTACGTGTTGTAGTTCTAAGGGAATCGATCACCTTGGCGCTTCCTCCTCCTTTCTGTTGCTTTGCAAAATAAGATGGTGGTTGGTGAGTGGTTCCTGGAGAGGAGGGGCGCAGGGTGCAGCGAGGGATCGGGTGGGGTGGGGTTCTTTTTTTTACCGTGATAATCAAAGGAAGGCGCCCCGGAGGGGGGCCAATCAGTCCACCTCACTGCCACACCTCATCAGGCGCTGCGCAGGCGGCGAAAACAGAGCCCTGGTAGCTCATCAGGACGGCAGCAAATGTCAACATTTGCTTGGTGATGTCACAGGAAGCCACACCTCCAGCGGCTCGTGACTAATTCATTAGCCGCCGCTAATCACGGCCGCGGCTTCATTAGCGGCCAGGATATTAGCAACTTCCACGACTCTCAGTGGAAAGAAATGTAAATGATTCAGTCAAGCCACTTCCTGCTGGGATTACGTCGCCGACGGGTTATCAATTATGGGCGACGCAGGCGGGGGGATTGAAATGAGATTATGAATAATAAATAAAGCCGAGAGGCACCTTGACACCGTACTGTCACTGCGGAGCCAAGAGGCCATCGTTATGGGCTACGCTACAACACACTTTCCAAAAACTTGATTGAGCCAAGGCACATATTTTACATTACCCCAAAAAAAAAAAAAAAACAACAACAAAAAACCCGACAAAGTAACATTTCGAGCATATGTTGTCGACTGAAATACTGAGTAATTAATTAAAATGTTGGAAATTTGTAACTTGAAACTGAAAAAAGCAGAAATTCAACTTTCTTGCATGAAGAAGTAGGGCTGACCAGAATATTTTTAAGTCGATGCCGATTCTAAAATTTGGTAAAATTAAATTCCCCAAAAACATCTAATTGGTTAACTAATTCAAAAAATATTTAACAACAAAAGTTTCTTCTCATATAACACCAAAAATATGGGGGAGGAAAAAAAATGGCAAAAAAACATGACGTGAAAAACCCAAATAACAGCCGATTAAATCAGTGGCTTAATCGGACGGGGCATGTTAAAAAGTTAGTTAAAATTTATTTAATGAAGCTTTTCAAAATCATTCAATCAGTATAACAGAAGAAAAAATGTTGATCATGGTTTTTCAGAGTGGAAGCAAATATTTGCAAATGTCTTATTTAGATTCGACACAAAAGAGAATGAGTTTGCATTCAGGGAGGACGAAAGAAATCGACTAAAAGTTGGCCCGTATCATGAAAAACACCAGTCGACTCACCACTGGCAAGTTAGCACACCGCTACATATCGATTATCCCTTCTCAAACAGAGCAATCATGAGGTTGGCTGTCTTCGATTGCTACACAAGGTCAGCAAATGACAATTTTGACGCCATTAGCCAAGCATAATATTTTCTCTTCATCCACAAGACGACGAGAAGGCAAAGTGAGCAAGATGAACCCATTACTGGGACATCGTAGAAAGGGTTCTGTCAGTCGTCATCTGTACCTGTGGGTAAAAAACAAAAAAAAAGAAAAGAAAGAACCCTTTCTACGATGGAACTTTCCTGTACGACTGAGAGCCTCCACAAGAACCATTACTGGGACGGAAATTACATTTGGCATTTTGACTTTGGCTTTATCTGGGCTGAAGGTCAGCTTGGCGGCATCCACGTCCAGGCCAATATACTAGGACGAAACCAAAAGTTAACTTGCAAACAAAAAATTGTCACTATTGAGGCCATTTCTGTGGCTGGAGGCAGCCAGCCAACAAAGGCCAACGTTACACTCCGATTGGGTGACACCCACATCACTTCCCGGGCCTTTATACATTACATGCATTCTAAAGTCACAGATACGACAATACAGACATGGAGGAGGGTAACCCCAAGTGAGCAAAAGTAATACCCTGCAACTCACATGCATATTTTAAATTGGTTGTATTTGCATCACAGCTGCCTTAAGTGCTAATTGTGACACTTGCTGTGCTGACCCCGACCTCCGGCTTCTCCTCGAGGGCCCGCTCTCACGGCCCGCCTCCCTTTTGCCCCCATCCCAATAAAAGGTCAGCGCCTTGCCGCCGGCGACCCCCCCATAATGGAGGCGGCACGTGACATGGGCCTCAACGCCGTTTCATAATGCAACAGCACGCCTGCCATTCTGTGAACTTTAACCCTCGGGGTTCCGTCCAAGGTCACCGTGGAGACCATCGCATTCAATTTGTGCAAACAAAAAAAGTAGTCACTCATTTACATTTCATATATTGTCCTTGTTTGCATTTTTATGATTTTTATGACACACCCGTTCTTATCGCAGTGCAGAAAAAATATTTTCATCCATTTTGTAAGAAAAGTGATTTTTTTTTTTTTTGGTTTTGTTTTTTTACGTAAGCTTGTGGAAGCAAATGTGACCTACCGGCCACTCGTGCCACGTACGCTGTGCTGACATTTTGCCGGTTGGGGCTCACTTTGAACGTCACAGCAGGGCCCACCACCCTAAAACACACACACAGACACACACACAAATTACTTCAACAGTTGCACATTTGGAATTATGTCAGCAATATTCTTCCCCCCACCCCCCAAAAAAAAATTGAGTTTGCAAATTGGCAGTAGTTGTTGTGCCCTTTGTTCATGATCACAATGAATGAAGAGTGTAACAGCCCCACCTAACGGTGAAGTTGGAAATTGTGCCTTCAATCCAAAACCTGCTATCAACAAGTCAAATTTGACTGAAATCAGTCCAAACCAGAAATGTTTTTGTTACAGGTTTGAAAATTTTAAAGATTGTTCAAACTTAAACGTTTTGCTGGCAACACAAAGCAAAAATATATGGATATTGTATACTGTATGTTGTCTTTTTCGGTCCTTGTGGTCTGGGAGGTATTGCATGCAAAGAAATGGGTTTGTGTCAGGCGGCCATTTTGCAGTTTTCCCAGCAGGCACCAAATAAATCACAAGGTGGCGAAAGCATGCGTGTGGTCGGCTACCCCATCCGAAGCAGCTTTTCTTCTTCTTGCCGCTCAAACGACCCCCCCCGCCGCGAGACGGATGATCACGTCCCTTTCGCCCGCCCGGGTTGCTTTTGTGGCCACTTTATATTAAAACACTCTAACATTTTTTTCTTTGACTGTTTTTTTAGCATGTGTTTTCTGTTTAGCCCTGTTCTTATTTGTCGCACTTCCCCCCACTTATTATGAACACTCTTCTTTTTAACACCTGCGCTTAACATATGTATTAGGTGACACTTCTCCTTTCTGACACTCTTCTTCTCCTTCACAGTTTTTTAATGAGTGTCTCTTTGACACTTGTCCATGACACAATAGATTGGGTAAACCAAGATATTCCCCCTCCGTGGCTTTAAGCCAACGTTAAGACTTGATGCTTGGTTGAAACATTTGAAATATGTAGCTAAATAGTCATCAAAACAAACTGGAAGCGGTATCCACCGAAACGGCCTTCACAACCACCTCAAATAATCAGCGTTGATGCTAATAAGCTCGTTTTAATCATTTCCACTACGAATGTCAGCTCTGCAAGTAAATCACCTTGCAAACAAGCGCAGATGAAAGCATCAGAATAAGAAGGCAAAAAAAAAAAAAAATGGTGACAATTATTTGCGGCGGCCGGCGGCGACGCGGCGCAAGCATTCATCACACGCGTCACGACGTCATCCATCTCAACGCTGAGGCCAACGCCGCGACGGGAAATCGCTCATGTTCGCTTGATGGATGGCGACACCTTCTGCATCATAATAAGCGTATACATACATACTTTTTTTTTTCGATTCAAAGTATTTGGAATGACTCCGTATCCGCTACATAAAACCCCCTTGTATCCTGATGAAGGACAATTCGATTAATCATTTCATTTCATTAATTGTTTCAGGCCATGAGTCAAACTATCCAAAAATATCTGTATTGGGAGTCGCGAGTCGTAGTGTGGGTGTGGAGGAGAGTGGAGTGGATGTTTGGCTCAAGTGTTGCGGGCGGGTGTCGCTGGTGCAGACAGGAAGAACGCCTCCGCTCGAAAAAAGCGGAGGAAGATCAATTTGATCAATAATTTGTTTTTTTCAGGGGTGTGGGGGTTGCATCACCTGACATTAAAATTGTTGACCAGGAAAATGTTTTATTGAAACGCATCATTGGTTGTGTTTTGCTCTGCATTGCTCAGATGACATAGATTTACTTTGTCATTGGATGCAAACATTACAGTCAATTTGACATCATATGTGGTCTTTGAGTTGTGAATCAGACGAGATGGAAGAGAGAAGAGAAAGCGTTCATACGTACGACAACTCGGCAAAGTCGGTGATTTGGATTCTGGCCATGCGAGCCAGGATCTCCATCATGTGCAGACCTTGGTCCGTCTGAAGACCGCTGAGGAGGCAAAATCGACGGTCATCACTTCATCACATGACATCCTACAGTTTTGAGAGCTTTTTAAGACTGTTGAATTCAATATGGAATGAAATTTCTCCATGAACAGGCAAGGCTTGCGTGAACTCACTCCGTGTCCGTGATGACATATCCAAAGACGTCATCTGCCTCCTTCCCTGCGGCCTTGACATCCAGCTGGAGTTCGTCTGACATCTTCTGACGCGTTTCCTGGTATTTGACGGCGGCCGGTGGCGGGGCCACCTCCTTCACCCAGCCCGCCACCTCTGACACCTCCTCCACTGACTGTGTGGTGTCCTTCTTTTGGACTGACAAGCCCACCTCACTGGTGCGGCTACGAACGTTCTCCAGACCCGACTGACGGTGAGGAGGAGAAGATGTGGAAGGGAAAGAAGCTCTTTGGTCCAAATAGGCCAGAAGTTTGCTGAAAACATTTTCACCACCAGCCTGGAAGCAAAATTATGTCAGAAAACACACTTCAATGTACATACATTCATTTGGCCAGCTAGCGTAACAGCAGCGTGCCCTTATTTTACATATGCTGTTAGCGATACTTTTAGACAGCTAGCATCATTGTAGCATGCCTCCATTTTACAATTGTTGCACTGTGTTGATTTTAGCTAAAAAACAAAACTGTCGTGCATCTATCTTGCACATACAATTAGCTTTAGCCAGCTAGCACAACCACAGTGCGCCTTTAATTTGCATGAATAAATTTAGCCAAATAGCATGTTTGCAATAGATAATGAACACAATACATATACCCTTAGCTTTATTTTGCAGACACTTTTAGTGTTAATTTTAGCCAGCTAGCACATTAGCGTTAGTGAGTTAGTACGACTGAACATTGCCACTATTTCAGAGGCACAGTTAGGTTTAGTCACCTAGCATGGCCACAGAATACCTCTATTTTACATACGCTATTAGTTTATCTTTAGACAGCTAAGACAATCACAAAGTGCAGCAATCTTACATGTGCCGTTAGTTTGTCAGCTAGCATAACAATAGTGTGCCTTGATTTTATCGACATTTTTAACATTAGTTTTAGGCAACTAGCATGACCACCGAGCATATCTGTATTAAACATTGTTGTGTACCTCTTACACTGCTCGTTGAGCCAGCTGGCACAACTGCAGCATTACCTCTATTTTACTTGTTCCCTTTGCTTTAGTCAGCTAATACTTCTGGAGTTATGTCTCTATAAGTTAAAGGTGCAATGATTCATCGATTAATCGAGTGTTCCAAACGGCAAACCACATTAAGAGAGGGAACTTCTGACAGGCTCACCTCGTCCTTCACTTTGTCGTCATTAGTCGGTGATTGGACTTCTGTTGGTTAAAAAAAAAGTCCTTATTTCTCATGTTATCAGTATCGTAGTGCTCTAGTGCTTCCTATGATGTCATCTTTTCGCATTCACCAGCCATTTGTGATTAACAGCCGTCGTCATGTTTGATTGGCGGTACCTTGAGGTGGGTCAGAAGAGGTCATCTTCACAGTTGAAGCTTCCGCCACATTCTCCTCATCTCTGCTATTTCCCTTCTTTTCTTCTTCCTTGCCGTCACTCAGCTCATCTCCCAAGTCTCTCGGCCCGGGTCGGACCTGATCCCGGTCTGCGGTACGGTCTTTGTCCACCACTTGCAAAGCATCCACGATGAGGTTTGACAGCTGGTCCATGTCATGCGGTGTCAGATTGTCCACGTCCAGGTGTTGCCTGCCGATGTTCTTCAAAACGTTCTGGATGAACTTCTCTGCGGGGTGACATTTGGATCAAATGAAGCAAAAAAATCAACAGTGGTACCTTGAAATGTTTTATATTCACAACATATAATTGTCTTTATTTTGTAATTGGTATGTTTTTCATACAGAACTTACCATCCACTAACGTAAGAGGCTCCTTGGCAGGACCCCCTGGAGTTTTGGGTCTGGACTTGAAGTTCCTGGGGTCAGAAGCTTCTATTCCCTGGCTGTAGACGGGTCTGAGGCGTGCTGAGGCATCAGGATGGGCGGCGAGAAGCACCCTGAGGATGTTAAGGACAACTTGGAGCCGATCCGCTGATGGGTTCTCCTTCACTCTGAAGGATGAAGACGCCTTGGTACTCGTCGGGTCAGACCTGGAGCTGTACAGGTCTGACTGGACTTGACCGCTCTGGAAAACACCAAGTTATTTGAGTGTCCAGGTTTACGGAAGGACTTTTTTTGTGGGTCTACTCATGATGGTCATGTCTACCAAACGTTATGATGCTAAGTGAAACAGACTTTGCGGATGGACTTTTAACATATCTGACATGTCTTACTAAGTTTTTGAGCAAATGAAAGACGTTAAAAAATAACTGTCCAAAAAATGTTCTGGGTTCATATTGTGCGCCCTCCTTTAAAAGAGTGCAGATAGGGCATCTTTTTTTCCTCCCCACTTCCTCATGTTTTCCTTTTATCCATTTGAAAAACGCGGGCCGTTAAGTAGCGAACCACTCTGTTGGTCATTTTTAATTGTCATTTTTCATGGATGACTCGTGACTGTGAAGCTGAATTCCTTGTGTGCTTTTACAGCTGATTCTGATCTGATTCTAAAATTATTACATTGATTTTTTTTACTTAAAATTCCACACCCCATAAAAATAGAGTGAACAAACCTTCCTCAGGCTTTCACCGCCGCCCGCCTTCGGGAGAATTCCGAGACGCTGGAGGTACATTTGCAAGTTTCTGCTAAGCTCTGCCTTCACCGGCTTCAGCCTCCGATCTACGGGGTCCATCGCCTCGGCCGCCGGCCTGCCAATGAGCTCCGTTTATCCAGACGCACCACTTCCTCATCGTCTCGAGTGTCTTACCTGCCGTCCTTGTTGCCGGCGGCGGCGCTCATTGGTAGTCGATGAGGAATCTTCCTGACTTTGGAGAGTTCTTTGGCCAGAACATGCTGGGTGGTGTCGTCCTGCCACGTCAAACCTGCACACGCACAAAATTTCAACGACGACTGAGCAGTCAAACCAAACAAACTTGGTTCCAATTGGAAATACCTTTCTCTTCAGCAGTTAAGATGAGCAAAGCACGCGCTCCTTCTGTGAGGTCTGACTACAATACATCTTTATTTAGGGATTTATTTATTTTCCAGGCTCCTCTCAATGCATGTGTACAGTATAAGTTCCACTATTCAAAACCAACAACAAATAAATTAACCACAGTGTTTTTTTTCAGTGCATAAAACTGACCATTCAAGAATGGCAAAAAACAGCAAAAATTCCAAATCTCCCCCCAAAAATAAACAAAAAATAATATTGGGCCTACTTATGTTGTAGTACGGGCAGTTAGTATCACTAGGCCATGTCTGCCATCTCGTGGAGAATGGTGATATTACAAGTTCAAACGACAGATGACGCATTTTTACACATCCGCAAATTCACATAAAAGACATTTTTCTTGTTTATTTATGTTTGTTTTTTTGGTCTAGTTTTCTGGGTTTGCTTTCTCTATTTACCCCATTCTGTTGCGGAAAACGCTTACTAATTGTTCATCAGCTTTTTGGGGGAAATTTGGAGGGTTTATAGGCACACATAAAAAAATCATCATAAAAAAATTCGGGGGACTTAGGGAAGAATTAATGGGCCACTGAAGAATGTGGTCGAGAGGCCCGATACGGCCTGCGGGCCGACAGTTGCCTACCCATGTTCTAGTAATGGCATAAATCATGATTTTGCATGAAACCAAGATAAAATATGCATGGGAGGTGCAGGAATTATTTTTGCTCACCTGGGGTTGCCATCGTGGCGTCCAACAAAGTAGTATCCGTGACTCTGAATGTGTGTGGCTTTAAAAGTCAGGCCCCGGCCTGGCTGCTATGTTGTCAACTCTTAGCCAGTTTGCATCAGGTGTGACATACAAGCTTGAGTATAAATGTGCGTATTACAGATTTTATCATTTAGTCCGTCCAGTGATAGATAAACAAGGAATGACTGAACATCCCACTGGGTCGCCGCTGCGCTTTCCACACCGCTACAAGAACAAGAGGAACTAGCCACTAGCGACATTGCAAGCTAAGAGGCTTGGGCCGAGTAAAAATGACTCAAAGTAACCCACAATTCCACCAAATAACCGCTAATGCGTACTATGGTGGTTCGGTCCTTATATAGTGAGAGAGGGGCGACTCCTGCCAGATATCAAAGTGCGTCGTCTGATTTAGCCACAACCCCAAAAAAACCCCCAAAACTGATATGAAAACAAGGTGAATGTTTTATCTCCACTATTGAGCACAACATACATTTTGACACACTTTCAGCAATTATCTTGAAAGAATCTATTTCGGAACAAATCTCTCAACTGACTTTACAGGCTCGTGAAACACCATCATGGCCCTTGTCTATTTCCTTTCTGTGACATTTGAGCTCGGCTGTCATTTCCTAGGATTAAAACAAGCAATTACCGATTCGTCCTCATCTCTCGGCAGTTCCGCACCGTCTGTAGCACCTCGTTAACACCCAACCCGACACAGCTGCTGAATAGTTGCCATCAAATGCGCCATAAAGGCACTGGCAGCATGCTAACAGAGGTGAGGCTAATAAAGCGAGTGAGGCGCGGTTGACAATTTATCTCCTGGGGTGCTGGCTGGCACGGCGTCCCGACTGCTCGTTAGTGTCGTTTCTTCCACCTCGCCACGCTGCAATTGTTCATGAAGAGATCACTGTTGTTTGTTTTCGATGTTGCATTTTTCTATCAAACTCCTTTAAGATGTCACTCAAAGCAAAGGGGCCTCATCAGCCGATCACACAAGGGGGCGCTTATATGCTTTCTGTCTCCCTCTAGTGGACGCTATCGCACTTTTCAACTCTTGCCATGAGCAGATGATTTTGGAATTACTTTTTTTTTACCATTTAAATCAGTTCCCAGCTACAGAAGAGTATTGCTGCCACATTAGAAAAAATAAATACATTAAAAAAAAACATATTGCAATAAATTAAAAGTTTTACAAAAATAATAATCATTGCTTTGTTTTGGTTTGCTAAACGCGCAAATCAAACTTCGTTTTAATGTGATGAATTTTACTTCCTTATCACATGACATCATGAAACATCACGTCAAAAGATGAAACTTCATGTGAAATGTGAAAGTGATCAGGTTATACTGTTGAATCGATCATGTAGCACCAATATGGAATTTATCATATTATAACCTGAGATTTATCATGTTATATTGTGATTCTCAACTTTTTTTTTTGCTAATGTGGCAGCGATACACTTCATATGCACGTGTCATAAACATAAATGGGAATCTCTTCTAACAAACATTGCATGATCACAAGCACCATTTCATCCCCAAGCTGGCATGCATGCGCGTGCGTGCGTGCGCTTACCCGTATTGGCCATTTTGTCCAGTAGCAGTCGAAAATGTTGTACGACGGGCAGGGTGACATCGTAGGAGTAAACGTCGCTCACCGGGATGGAGTAACACCTCCCGAACATCCCGTCTACAAACGCACGTGAACAAAAGTATTGGGACGCCTTCCAGCCTGACGGCAAGTCAAAGTGCTAAAACGGTTAAAAAATAGATTTTTGGGTTTTTTTTAAATCTCACCATTGACGCATAGCTCGAATGGCGTACACAGTTCTTGCTCAAATAGACAACCTGGAAATAACACAAGAGAAAGACAATGATCTTTCAAGAAACTTTTTTTTAAACGGCAAAAAAATAATAATAATCTGCCCACCTCAAAAATCAAGAAATGCCCAGGCCCTGGTTTCAACTGAGGGTTTCATTTTGAAACAAGGGTTAAGGTTTGAACTCAAGACTGTGTTAGGGTTTCAAATTAGGGTTTTAAATCAGGGTTCCAAGCCTATTGACATCACTCAGTGGGCCATCTGTGTGATGCGCTCAGACGGCTGCTAAACCACACTCGCGCGCACAACCGTTGAACAGGGCACAAGGATGCTGTAACCATGGCAACAGCTCATCAGCTGTGAGACCATCAAAGGGCGACCACACTCTCACACACTTGCATGTTTTGCCTGTGTGCTTGCCACCTCTTGCTGAGGTGTGAACAGAATTGGTGGACTTTGCAGCTATGGAGGAGGAAGAGGAGAAGGAGGATGAGGAGGAACTATTCTGGAGTGGCGATGACTCTGTGGTCATGTCCCTGAGAAGCACACACACGTGAAATGGGTTGCGGGCCAGCAAAGCAATGCAAACTAAGTGGAATTAGCAGGAAAGCAGAGGAGGACTACATTTCCCATGATGCACTTGGCACCTTCTGCTGCTCTGCCCACAACTTCATGGACACAAAGAACACAGGCAGGCTTTCTAATGTGGCTTTGACCTGTCGTGTTAGGCGTTCAAATTAGGCCTTTCAACCATTGTTAGCGGTTCAAGGCAGGGTTACGGTTTCAAATTGGGGTTTGAAGACTGGAGTAGGGTTTCAAGATAAGGTTAGGCTTTTAAATGAGGGTTTTAAGTGTGGGTGAGGGTTTCAAATTGGGATTTTAAGCACGGGGCCGGGTTTCAAGGAGAGTTTCAAATTAGGGTTTTAAATCTGAGTTAGGGTTTTAAACTTTTGTTTGGGTTTTAAATGAGGGTTTCAAGCTTTACTCGGGGTTTTAAAAAAGGATTAAGCATTCAAGTTAGGTTTTCAAGCCAGGGTTAGGCTTTCAAATTGAGCTAGGGTGTCATGGTGAAATTTTATTCCAAGGGTAGGGTTTCTCACCAGACTTCGGCTTTCTAAAGGTTTTAAGTCTAGGTTGGGGATTCAAATAATGGTGTTAAACTATTATAAGTGTCTTATTAAATGAGGGGGTTTTCTTAATGATATTGTGGAGTTTTTAATGAGGATTACGTGTTCAAATTAGGGATTCAAATCAGGATTGGTTTTTCAAATTAGGGTTTAAAGTACAGATGAGGGTTTCCAATGAGAGTTTTAAACCTGGGTTAGGTGTCCAAATTTGAGTTCTAGGCCTGGGGTGGGGTTTATAGCCTAGGTTAGGCTTTTAAATTAGTATTTCAAAACAGGGTTAGGTTTCAAGGCTAGCTGTTGTTGTCTCATTTTTGGTCAAGTGTGTGACTAAATCCGTCTGTCTATAAACTGTCCACACCAATTGTGTGTGCACTGAAACGGTAAAAGTGTCACCATGGCAATTGACGGCGGACGACCTTCAGGCTAGCGATTAGGCGAGCATGCATTTTTTTTTTTTTTTTTTTTTTTTAACCAGGGCAATAAAGCATCATCACTGTCCTAACAATCGATTGTGGATGTGACAAATTAACACACCTGCGCCTCCTGAAGATAAAAGAAGCATTCAAGAAAGGTGAACAAACATCATCACCATCATCATCAAATGTCCTGCAGTTGCCACACTTTGCTTACTTATTATTCTTATTATGTAACCTGACTACCAGGGAAGCCCTGAGGAGGAGTACAACCCCCCCCCCCACACACACACACACAAAACATGCAAAAATGACAACAGAAACATACCTGGGGGCACATAAACACATACACAATGATACACACACAAAACACATAAAAACAATCACCCATTCAAACACACACACGCACACACACATTATTTTAAAGTTTTAAATTGAATTTTTATGAACACTTGATTTGTCCCCTGCAACCTGGGCATACTGAGCAACTTTGAACAAAAACACAACACAAATGTAAAATGAAGAGCACTCTATGAGGACAAAATACATTTTAAGAAATGTATTTAAAATGTAGATATTAATGTTATGAGTATTCTATAATTTAAAAATTATTTTGTATGGATGGTGCATTCATTGTCTTTGTTTGCTATGTTAGGGGCTAATTGACATACTTTTTTTTAAGGGACGGTGTGATTTTTTTTTCCAACGGTCTGTTTTTTTTTAAACACTATTAACAGAATGCAAAATATGTTCAATGACAAAACCATATTTTCAACGCAATTCTTAGTGAAATAATTGCTAATTACATTACATAGGGCGGGTCTTCCCTTAGGAGGCGGCCATGTTTCACCGCCATCTTTCTGCTACGGATACCTGAAGAAGACAAATTTCGGGAACGTAGGTCCTAATCCTAACGACGAAAACATGTGTAACAAATTCCAGGCACTTTCTCGTCACTTGAGCGACTTTGGGATTTTATTTGGGACGTTTGGGAAGACATTATGGTTGCATAGCTGCTGAAGAAGTTGGTGATAGGCTGGCCAAATGTGGTTTCTCCGGTGCACCGAAGTGCGCGTTTTTCAAAATCCACGCGCTTCGAGTTAGGTTGTTGCATTCTGTTATTTCACCACTGGATGGCACAAATTCTACACGCGGTACCTTTCACATGTTGCATTTATATACAGTATATATTTGGACATTAAAAATACACATATTCATACTCATGGTATGTCTACCTATTTATTCACTTTAGTTAAGGTCAACTAATGTGTTTGTTAAATAGCGCATGTCTTGATAACTTCCAGAGTAACGGACATACTTGTTTGTTTTTACATTGCAAAAAATATACATGTTGAAAATGATTTAGGAGCAATTTCTATGCATATTAACTCAACTCGTTGGATTACTCAACGTGATGATCGTAGTTTATAAATACGTAGGTGTAAATGACGCACGATGCTCATTTGAATGAACATCACGGACCTGTTTTATATTTATGTTGGGGGGTGGGGGGGTTGCCCCCCGACTCTCAGTTTAGTGAGAGCTCCGACGTTTTGACATCATTTATGTGTTAATTGACGAATCAACACCCAGCACAAAATGGACCCCAGCGGAAGCACAAGAGCCAGTAGCAGCGGCGACTCACCGACTAGCCTGTCAGCCAAGGCGGGGGAGGAAGACGTGCGCAGGAGGAGGACGACGAGGAGGCAAAAGGAGGAGAAGGAAGACGGCGGCATGTCTCTCCTGCTTTGGCTCCAACCGCACGTTAAAAGGCCATCCGTCCTCACGGGCTCTGCTCGGTCCTGGGGTGCGCTCGGGAAGGCACCTGCGCGGCCTGGCGAGCAGGAGACGAGTCGGTTGAGTGGCTGGACGAATGGATGGAGCGAGGGAGGGAGGGTAGGAGGCAGGCGGGCGGTGAGGCTGTAAGCTAGGGCGTTGATTGCTCTTCCTCCTCCGGATGCTGCTGCTGCCGCCGCCGCTGCTGCTCTCAGCAAGCGCACGGGTGTCTTCGCATGCTATACATCCGCCGCTCGCTTTCGAAATAAAAGTGAAAAAAGGCAAACGGAAACCAAACTGGCGGGCTCTTGTGGAAAAGCATGGCAGTAAAGAAAGTGTAGGGCACTTTGTTGCGCTGAACGGACTGGTCACTGCGAACTGCCAGAACCCACAGTGAAAAACACAAATTAACCACTCGCCAGTCTACCAAGGAACATAGAGACAAAACAATGGATTGATCGCCTTTGACTGTCAGGGCAACTAGACAAACAATGGATTGGTCGCCAGCCAATGTCAGTGCACATACAGACAAACAATGGATTTTTCGCCAGGCAATGTTACAACACAGCCAACGAACTGGTCGCCAGCCAACATAAAGGCACATAGATAAGCAAAAGACCGGTCACCAGTCAATGTGTCAGAGCAGTGCACATAAACAATACGAATGAACTGGTGACCCACCAATGTCCAGGATCAGGTAGAAAAACAAAAGACTGGCCGCCAGCCAATTTCAGATCACATATAAACAAAAAATTGGACTGGTCACCTGTCAATGTTAGTGCATATGTCGACAAACAATGAATTGGTCACCATACACTATCAGAACCCAAATTGAAAAAAATGACTGGTCGCCAGCCAATGTCAGAGCACATCTATAAATGATTGGGCAATAGTCAATGTCAACTCAGAAAAAAAACAAACAAAAGGACTGGTAGCCAGTCAACATCATCATATACACAATGGACAAACAATTGACTGGTTGCCCGACAAGGTCAGAGAACATGGACAAAAAATTAACTAGTCACCAGTCTATCTAGGAACATAGAAACAAACAATGACTGGTCGCCTGTCATGGTCACCACGTGATGCGGCAGGCGAAGCCAAAAGGTAAACAGAGCTGCATTGTGATGGTTTAGGTGGCTGCATGTGATATAAAATAACCCGAGACTTTTACTTGATTTTTGTTTTATTCCTTTCCAAGTTGACGCAGACGGGTCACGTGACCTTCGACCTAAGGCACAACAGGAAGGAGACTCAAATGTGAGCCATTCAAAATAAGAGTAAAAGTCCATCAAATTTGAAATGTGTCCCCAAGCAGAACACACGTCAGAATAACAGATTTCCTGTTCTACTCATTTTACTTTGAATACTTAAAATCATGACAAAAGCATATAAATTGAATAAAGTGATTTAAGACCTTGCAAGTAAAACGTGAAAGTATTAAAACAATATGAAAATGACACTCGCTAAAATATTGCTGCTTCATTAAGAAAAAACAAAAAAAACAATGGTCACTAGATGGTGCTGTTACATAATGATATGCAATCGTGATATTTTGGGTTTCTTTTTCAAGCTGCAGGATTTGTACTGTACATATGGATAGCTGTAGGCGTGATATAATAGCTCTCCATTTATAATTTTTGAATCCTTAATTTCACAATAAAGTCGCCTTTAAACACCTGGCTAATATTTCAATCTTATGCAAACAGCTCACTCACTGGAGCAGAACAACTTCCCAACACAATTACATCCTCAATTGTCATACCAGATAAACAAATGGCAAATAAAAGCCAGTGTAAAGCTTCGCTTAGCAAAACGTGTAAAAAAAAACCCAACAACAGAAAAACAACAACAACACAAAAAAACAAACAAAAAATGTATTTGGTTCTATTTGGTGGTGGCTGCAACTCACTTGCATCATAACCACAGAATTAGAAAAAAATGCACAAATTCGAATCTTACAAGGTAAAAAGAGATTGTTCGCAGCAAGCGCACGGGTGTCTTCGCATGCTATACATCCGCCGCTCGCTTTCGAAATAAAAGTGAAAAAAGGCAAACGGAAACCAAACTGGCGGGCTCTTGTGGAAAAGCATGGCAGTAAAGAAAGTGTAGGGCACTTTGTTGCGCTGAACGGACTGGTCACTGCGAACTGCCAGAACCCACAGTGAAAAACACAAATTAACCACTCGCCAGTCTACCAAGGAACATAGAGACAAAACAATGGATTGATCGCCTTTGACTGTCAGGGCAACTAGACAAACAATGGATTGGTCGCCAGCCAATGTCAGTGCACATACAGACAAACAATGGATTTTTCGCCAGGCAATGTTACAACACAGCCAACGAACTGGTCGCCAGCCAACATAAAGGCACATAGATAAGCAAAAGACCGGTCACCAGTCAATGTGTCAGAGCAGTGCACATAAACAATACGAATGAACTGGTGACCCACCAATGTCCAGGATCAGGTAGAAAAACAAAAGACTGGTCGCCAGCCAATTTCAGATCACATATAAACAAAAAATTGGACTGGTCACCTGTCAATGTTAGTGCATATGTCGACAAACAATGAATTGGTCACCATACACTATCAGAACCCAAATTGAAAAAAATGACTGGTCGCCAGCCAATGTCAGAGCACATCTATAAATGATTGGGCAACAGTCAATGTCAACTCAGAAAAAAAACAAACAAAAGGACTGGTAGCCAGTCAACATCATCATATACACAATGGACAAACAATTGACTGGTTGCCCGACAAGGTCAGAGAACATGGACAAAAAATTAACTAGTCACCAGTCTATCTAGGAACATAGAAACAAACAATGACTGGTCGCCTGTCATGGTCACCACGTGATGCGGCAGGCGAAGCCAAAAGGTAAACAGAGCTGCATTGTGATGGTTTAGGTGGCTGCATGTGATATAAAATAACCCGAGACTTTTACTTGATTTTTGTTTTATTCCTTTCCAAGTTGACGCAGACGGGTCACGTGACCTTCGACCTAAGGCACAACAGGAAGGAGACTCAAATGTGAGCCATTCAAAATAAGAGTAAAAGTCCATCAAATTTGAAATGTGTCCCCAAGCAGAACACACGTCAGAATAACAGATTTCCTGTTCTACTCATTTTACTTTGAATACTTAAAATCATGACAAAAGCATATAAATTGAATAAAGTGATTTAAGACCTTGCAAGTAAAACGTGAAAGTATTAAAACAATATGAAAATGACACTCGCTAAAATATTGCTGCTTCATTAAGAAAAAACAAAAAAAACAATGGTCACTAGATGGTGCTGTTACATAATGATATGCAATCGTGATATTTTGGGTTTCTTTTTCAAGCTGCAGGATTTGTACTGTACATATGGATAGCTGTAGGCGTGATATAATAGCTCTCCATTTATAATTTTTGAATCCTTAATTTCACAATAAAGTCGCCTTTAAACACCTGGCTAATATTTCAATCTTATGCAAACAGCTCACTCACTGGAGCAGAACAACTTCCCAACACAATTACATCCTCAATTGTCATACCAGATAAACAAATGGCAAATAAAAGCCAGTGTAAAGCTTCGCTTAGCAAAACGTGTAAAAAAAAACCCAACAACAGAAAAACAACAACAACACAAAAAAACAAACAAAAAATGTATTTGGTTCTATTTGGTGGTGGCTGCAACTCACTTGCATCATAACCACAGAATTAGAAAAAAATGCACAAATTCGAATCTTACAAGGTAAAAAGAGATTGTTCGAAGAAGGAAAAGTCATATTTTGTTTCGTTTCAGGAGAAATAAAGATTTTTGGGGGTTTTTTTTTGCAAAGAGTAATTAAAAACAGAAAAAACAAATCTGTTTCAAGAAAAAAAAGTCACATTTAATTCTAAAAAAAAAAAAAAAGAATCAGGGCCAAAGTTATATATTTTTTCTCCCAAAGAAAAAGGTCATACGTTGGGGGGGAATTGGGCTGTAAAAGTCATTGTTTTGAGGAACAAAAAGGACAATAATAAAATAAAATAAACAATTCTCCACCCTGATATTTTTTGGGGGGGGAAGTCATTTTTAAGGAAAACTGAAAAATTCAATAGAAAAGTAAGTATTTTTAAAGACGGAAACTAATTTTTAATCCTCCACTTTCTCAAAAGTTGAATTATTTAAAAAAAACAAATCCAATTTTATTCATAATTTTAAAAAAAAGAACACATCTTCCTCAGCCATTTTTCTAAGGAAAATTGGAGGGGAAGATTTGAACCCCCCCCCCCAAAAAAAAGGCATTTTCACCCCCGCAAGACAAACAAAAGATGTATTTTTCAAGAAAAAAAAGTGACTTTTTTCCCAACAAAATAATTCTTAATTATCACTAGATTTTGTTCATAAAGTTGAAATATCACGAGAAAATGGTTGCACACTAATTAATTTTTAAAGTGATTTTTGTCCTTCATTAAACTCCAAATATGACAAATGTTTCCAATCCCAAAAATATGACTTTTTCCCTTGTATAGTCCAACTGTTTTTTTTTTTAATTGAAAAGTGGATTTTAATTTCTTTCTCTTTTCCATGTGTCCCTTAGGCTCCTTCACACATGACAGACATTGTTAAGAAGAAAAAAAAAAAATAACATTCCAGCCATCTTATCTTGATCCTGCACGATGCAACATACACTGTACGTATTTACACAAAGGGACTTGGTGACGATGATAAATAGTGATAGCCAATTTGCGTTTGTTCCCTTTTGCCTCAAAGGCAAGGTCTGCCTTGCCCCTTCATGCGAAAGCTGCTTGTTTGGTTGGAAACTATGAAAGGAGCACAAACGGGGAGATTCGAATAACGCCCGAGTCATCACCACCACCACCACCACGATGATGATGATGACTTTAGATCAGATGAGTCTTTGTTTGGCCGTCTTCAGTTAGCTCATACCTGCAGGGGCCACAAAAAATACAACTTTCATTTAAAAAAATATATATATATATTTTATAAAGAAAATGTACAAATAATTTTTCATTGTTTTTGAAGATTTTCCGTCATCAAGAAAGAAAAAAAAATGCATTTCTCGAGTTAAAAAAACAATTTATTCTGGTATAATTTTTCCCAAGAAAAAACATCTTTTGAAGAAAGATTTTATTTTAATGAAGGGGGAGATAAAAAATATGTTTTGTTTTCGACAATTTGATTTTTTTATTTGTATTTTTTTTATAGGATTGTTGTGGGGGGGGCTGTTTAAGAAATATTCAACCCAAATAATGTGTTGGGGCAAATAGTCATGTTTAAAAAAAGTAAAGTGGCAGTCAAATTTTTTTTTACCCAATTAAAAAAAAAAAAAAGTTTTTAGAGGGAGAAAAAATTGCCTTCTTCTTTTGAGAGGTAAAAGTGTCTTTTCAACCAAAAAGTCGTTTGAAAGAAAGAAACATTTTTCAACAAAAAGTCAAACAACAATTGAAGTGATAACTGACCACTGCGTCCATCCCTTGGCGGCGTCTTCGGGGCCCAATTTGACCAGGACCTGACGGACAAAAGGGGCCCTTTGTCAGCTTGCTCATGTGACATGCAACAAACACCAGCTGGTGGAGAGTTCTTCATTTTTTTGGTCTTGTACCTTTCCCAGCAGGCCCTTGTGTCTGGAGAGTAACCCTCCACTGTTCTTGACGGCCACATCCAGAGTTCTCCTGTGGAGCTCCACCAGGGAAACGCTGAACTCGAAACTGAGCCCACATATATATATATATATATATATAAAATCATTTCACACACACACATATATATTATATATATATAAAAAATTATTTCACTGCAAACTAAAACACACTCTCTGAATGTAAATAAAAATGATGTGTGCCGCATGTATGAGGGTTTAAGGTAAAATTATGATCTCGTGTTGGAATTTTGTCATCAGGATTCACTAATTTGGGAAAAAGTTTTTTTTCCCATTTAGTCCATTAGTTTCCATGACCTATTGTGACCTTGCTACTTACGTCTGATCATAAACGGGGTTGAGCGTTTTCTTGAAGGTGTGAGTTTTTCTCCTTCCCGAGCGTCTCTTGTCAGGGAGCAAGTAGAGGCGCACGTATGGGTCTGAGCCGTGGTCGGTGAATGATATCAGATTCCTGAGCACAAGCGACGACAAGAAGAAGAGGTTGTCAGTGGATTTCCACATCACCATCAACTCCCAAAAAAAACAAAAAAAAAAAAAAAAAAAAAAAAGAGTACGTGTGTGTTTTTGTTACCTGCAGGCATGGACCACCACCACCAACTTGTTCCTTTGGGAGCTGTGTCTTACCGTCAGCTGGATCTCCCCCAGGGGGAAGTAGCTGGGTCCAGAACCACTAAAACACACACACACAGCAAACTTTCTCATAAAAATCTGTGTATGGGCACAGAATTGTGTTTGAAAGTGATTTTCAGTGTTTGAAGTGGATTCCAATTAGTTTGAAGCACCCGTGGAACGCATTTGTCGAATTTCAAACCTATTTGAAGCTCGCTTCAAATCGCCGTCAATTTGAAGCACAGCAGACAAAAAAAATGTCTCTCACATATGTGAAACCCATTTGAAGCCAACAAGGGCTCGTGTGAAATGTGTCGTGAAATCTTTTTAAGCTCCTTTTGAGTCAAGGTGTTAATTTTGAGTCGATTTGATGCTTCTGAATTCAAATCAGCGCCAGTTTCAATAATAATAATAAGAATAATAATACATTTCATTCATAAGCGCCTTTCAAAACACTCAAGGACACAAGCATATTACGGACAGAAAAAAAAATGCCTCTAGCATATTTGAAACCCATTTGAAGCGTGTGTGAAATGTGTTTATATGTAAGTTTCGAGCCAATTTAATGCTTTTGAGGTTGGTTTGCCACTTATTTGGATCTGGCAAATGGGAACCCTTTCATATGCAACATCTTGATTACGTTAATGCACTTGACTTTGGAGTCAACCAGCCCTGCCTCAAACATCGCCAGTTGCTCCAAAATACTGCTGCTCACCTCTCAAATGGAGCACGTAAGACGAATCACGTAAATTGAGCCCTTCTTTTTTTGTCTTGTTTTCACTGTTTTTAACTTTGTGTCCGTATTATTGTTTGGAAAGGATGTCGACAAAGTATTGACAGGGCTTTTTAGTTTTAGAGACTCTTTTGGATAAAAAAACTGTCTGCTGTACTTCTGCATCTGCTGGAGTCTCTGTTGCAGCTCCTGAGCAGCGAAGGGGTAGGAGATGTCGGAGGCGATGCTGGGCGTGGCCTCCTTGCCTCCGTCCAGGAAGTGCTGCGATCCCGTGATGGCCACGTGCGACGAGCTGCGGCCGCGCTCGGCCAGGCTGCCTCCCTTCAGCCGGCTGTCCGGCTCCTCCAGCTCGGACTCCCGACGCCGCCTCAGGCCGTCCTGGCCCGAGACAGAGTAGGAGCGCGGGATGTTGGCGGCCGAGTCAGAAAACTCGGACGGCCGTGGCGTCAGGTTGGCGGTACTGGACTTGAGCCCGGATGAGGCCTGGTCGACGCCGAAAGATGCGTCTTTGTCCAGACAAAGGACCTGAAATTGCACATGACGTGAGGTTTCTTTGAAAGGTTTCCAGCGACATTTCTTCGTGCTTTTCGGTCCATATCCAGATAACTGTTTTATACATAAAAGGTAACTTCGACTGTTAAAGCCTGCTTGCATTGGGGCCAAGAGGGCACCAACAGAAGCTGCAGATAAAGATATTTATGTTTATTTGTTTATTGATAGGGATAATCGATATGTAGCACGTTGCAGGGTTATACAACGCTGAACAAAATGGTGTGTTGACTTTCAATTTCATTTCGTCAAGTGGTTGAACAAAATCAAATCATCTGGTTCCAGAAGTAGCTGTCTACTTTCAATTTTAGGTTATTTCATTCGTTTTCCTCAACTATATTTTTTTACGCGCTTCACCTCGTGGCAACCCATCGGGCTACGGGATGTACTACCTCACACACAGTGGCGGGATTTGTGACCACATTTGAGAGCGCAATAGAGGAGGAGATTATTGTTATGGGCTGCGGACACCCAGAGCTGTCCAAAAATAAACGTGAGCTGACTTGGCGTTTTGTCAACGAGGAGGCTGGCATACCCGATACTGATATTATTAATGTTGAACTGTACCAAGTGTAGCATTAGCCGGAGCTACGTTATGAACCACTTTGTTCTCCATGGCTCTTTGTACAGTGGATGGTACAGCTGCTATCTTCTAACAAGCGAAGCCCCTCCCCTTTTTCTCCAGTGTGCGCGAATGAAGTCACTGCATCACCAGGAACTCCCGGGGTCAAACGCACTCACGCCAAGGGACAATTTTGAGCAATTTTATGCATGTTTTTGGAATGTGGGAGGAAACATGAGTACCCGGAGATAACCCACGCAGGCCCGTGGAGAACATGCTAACTCCACACAGGAAGGCCAGAGCCGGGATCGAACCCACGACCTCTGCACTATGAGATCGACGCGCTAACCACTTGACCTCAGATCTATCTATCTTAAAATATTTTCACTCGTCAGACTTTGAATCTCGAGGCGACACAATGACGCTTTGCTCCTGCACAATGAGGAAGCGGGGGAGTTTTGCAACACTTCTCAGACAGCTCAAGCTAGTTTCAAAATTTCACATTTGATATTGTACAGGACTACTTTTTTTTTTCCTTTCAAATGAGGTTAGTGCAGATGTTTGGTACCCGCAAAGCTATTTTCATCTTGAGACTGCAGCTGGGTCCAGAGTTGCGCAGAAGAAACTGCTGGTTGAGGGTCATGTCTTCGGCCTCCAGCAGGCGGCCCAGAGGCAGAAGCAGCGTGCCCAAAGAGCAGTTGTCGTGTTTGGCATCCTTCACCTAAACACGACAACACAGATGAGGTGAGAAAACATGAATGTGGCTTCCGTTTCTCTTGGTTTGGCAGAAAGGAGGAGGAAGCTTTTGTGTACCTCCACCTCCAGGTCTTGAGTCCTGGGGTTGTGGATGAGGAAGGAGAAAGCTTCTTCCCACACCGGCTCGTTGGTTTTGTAGCGTGTCTGCCAAAGCACAAAACCACCGATGAATGTCCATTTCAAGTTGATTTAAACACGCAGTTGTGCTGTGAGATTCACGTTTCATTTGTTTCATGACCATATTTTTGTATATCTAGAAAGGTTCTACAAAATAAAAACACGAATTGTAATGATGCCAATCTCCACCTATTTTTTTTTTAAACTAGCCTTATAGGTCATGTCAAATGTAATTGTTTTTTTTTTTTTTAAATATTATGCCACGGGGCGCAAATGACCCGGGGGCCATAGTTTTTCTCACCTTGCTCTCATGGGACTTGTGACCCACTCGGAGCTGGACAAACGGACTCGGATCGCTAGTCACTTTCTTTCCAGCCTGCGCAGCGTGAACGGAAAAGATTAGAAAAGATCAAACTAAATAATCCCGGTTGCATGCACACTACATGCCATTTCACAATGAAAAGACATTCCTTTCACATTCAAGGACCAAAGATGTTCTCAGCGAGGATGCAAAACACAGACGGTAAAAAGAACCCAAGGCAAGAACACCCAAAACACCTCAAAATGAAGTTGACATGAAGTTATTTACAACACACGCATGACACAATTGGTGTTAAGACGAACGGATGGATTCTGAAACTATTTTACTCCCAGAAATGGAGAAAAAAAAAGTTTGGTTCAAAGCAACAGGTGGTGCTATAACTAAATTCAAAACATGAGGCAACTTCAGCTTTTGTGTGTGTGCGTGTGTGTGTGTGTGTGTGTGTGTGTGTGTGTGTGTGGGTGTGTGTGTGTGTGTGTGTGTGTGTGTGCGTGTGTGTGGTTACCTTGAAGGCCTTATCAAGCGAGGCCTTCTTCAGCCCCACCTGGTTGAACTCTAAGGGATAACACTACGGGATGAAGGCCATATGGAGAGAGCCAACACACACACATACATGAACACAAACCACCAGCACCACCAGCAGCAGATTATTAGGGAAGAGCATGCATGGAGGAAGACACACAAACACACACACATGACACAGAGACAACATGGTTGATTAGTGAATATCCCCAATGAACACCTTCAAGTAACAAGAAAAAGCTGCTTGAGGCGAAGCCATGATGAGTGCGTGCCTTGAGATACAAGTCGAATTTCATCCACTGTACATGAAAGAGACGGTCACAGCTGCTCACTAAGATGCAGTAAAAATACAGTGAAACCCAGTAATATATGCGGGGGGCATACCGGCCTGCTTATTGTGACAATCCACATATAATTGACCAATTTATGATTGCATTGGGGGGAAAAAAATCCTATTAATTGTTGACTAAATGGGGATATATGCAGCCCAGAAGCATTTTCCACGAAAATGATGGTTGGCTCCTAAAATGCAAAAGAAATGTATTTTATTTTTTATTGTTATTTATTTTTTTAAATAAATAACAATAAAACCCACACCGCCCGCGAGTACCTATACAGTTACATGAAGGAGACTTTGCTGTTGGTGATGGTGAGGGCGAGGGGGGGCTATTCACAGAACCACCCTCTTATTTCACAAGTAATATTTTCCCAATCCCCTGCTGGGCCCCTTTTTTGTTGGGTAAATAAATATTTTTCTTGTCAATAAATAAGCGGCAATTTATCACAGATTTTGGGTATTCCTGGTTGGGCCTTGTCCCAGCCATGTACAAATAGCAGATGTTCATTTTAAGAAGGGTCTTTTAAATAAAAATGTTTTGCAGAGGATAAAGAAGACATGCATGCGAGTGCCCCTATAGGATCTGTCTACATGTGTTGCTCAGGGTCTGTGTTCAAATATCGGTTGCTTAAAAGGTTATAACACGGCAACCCTCGATGCTATCAGTTAGCCAAGCATATGGCGTCTTGTAATGTTTGTTAGCATGGAGATAGCACAAGGCGAATTTTTGTGGCTGTTTGAAATACACACAGTGAGTGTAATTATCTATGTTGTGAAGTCAGTTAGCTTCACGGACATCATCAAAGGCTTGGATCTCAATTTTTTGCTCAATTAACCAAAGGACAGCTCACGTCTCATAAAATGTGTATGTCGGGTCACTTGTGTCTCAAGGCACCATTGTTTATCCGCTGTGGGGGGAGGTGAGGGCAGCAGGGGACAACACTGCCCTCGTTGCTCATCAGACAGAAATCAGATTTCTTGACAGCGATGAAATAAAGACCTAGAAATGCCGGCCAAGAGCAACTCGTGTAAGAAATTTGAGAGCAAAGTGTGAAAAGATAAGAAAAAATGACCATGATTGACGTGGGAATGTTTCCTGGAGGAATCACGAGGAAGGAAGACATCAACTGAGAACATTTTGTTCCAAAATAATCGTAAATAAAACACTGGCTCCATAAAAATGACAAGAAATCATTTACAAGAGAAACTAAGTGAAACATGTTTTTTTTTTCCTTTTCTATATTTAGTTATAGGGTTTTAACATGGATAAATGGAACTTAATTAGCTTTATTTTTCATCTTAATTGCTTTGGGCACTAATTACAACGTAATGGATTCATACAGTATGTGCCCAGAGTCTAATTATGAAAGAATAAAAATCATCTAATTAACTCTAGAAGAATTAGTCACATGTTATAAGACGATGTTGTTAAGCAGTGGAGTACGGTATATGCCGAGCGCCACGTCAAGGCTCAAAATGATTTTTTTTTTCTTTGTTGAGCAGCTTTGCAAATTAACGATTTCATTTGAGGAGCAACCCAGTTACCTGAACCAAGGTTTTATGAAACAATAAAAATATGACAATATCACAAATGAACTATTGGTTTTCTTTTTTTTGATATATTTAACTTTTTTTATTTCTTGAAGTCGCATTGTGTATACCAGTGAACCGTATTTTCATGTCTAGAAGCAAAATTGATTACAAAAATTTTGAGAACATTTATTGTACACAGCTCAAAGGTCAAACTCAAAACTCTATTGTGAAAACAAAGAAATAACATTACTGATTTTACAGTGATTCCTTGCCACTTCGAACTTCAAGTTTGTGGCTTCAGTGTTTCGCGTTTTATTCTTTAAAAAAAAACTCCTGTAGTAATTAACCTCGAAAAACAAGGGATTACTGTCTTATTATTTCAAACTATATTAATATACTTTTATACTTGGCTAACGTAGGGTGTAGCGGACAGTTATTCCTTACCGGTTCAATTTACCAAGTTGATTTTCTTGATGAATTAGCATGCTATTTTGCTGTGCTAGCTGTGCCAATCGTAGGTTAGCATAGCAATTAGCGTGTCTTGTAGCTAATTAGCCACCACAGAGGCGATGATTACTGACAGAGGGGCGACTCCAACGTGTTTAGCCGCACCGCTAGCAAGCCGAAGCTCGCTGCTGGGTAGCTGATGCGGCGTTAAGTAGCACCGAATTTCTCTCAACCGGATGTGCGCATAGCACTACACTCGTGTACTTTCCTATTACGTCAAAAGCCAACAGTGGACATTACTTCTGTAGATGTGAGCGGCACGTGTGCGTGAGGCCCGGCGAGCTTTTGAGGATTGTCTCAGCGGTTGATTATCAGTTTTCCTATTCAAGGTGTTTTGATGAGACGCAAAATGGCTCGCAAAATGTATTGCCAAACTGCTCGCCAACTGTGATGCAAAACGGCCTGTGAGACTGCAGCTGCGACGCATTGAAGACTCAATGCTGACAACGAGGCGCTCTAAAGCGACACATTTTCAGCAATTATCTGCAAACACGTAAAATCTCTGAAGACTTGACTCGGCCATCTCTGTTCCTTGCTGACCCAAATAAAAAGCATTCATGCATGCAGTTGCAAGTCAGACGTGTGCGACTCACAAATAAGCTGCGGTAGAGCGAGGCCGTGTTCTCGCAAAACACCAAACCGGCAGCTTGCCGCTCGGAAAGATGCCCGCTTCCCACGTTGCCCTCGAACACGCTCTTCACGTGCGACAGGAAGATGAGAGGGGAAAAGAAGAAGGAAAAGGAAGAAAGAGAAGCAGAGGAGGCTGAAAAGCGGACGATAACTTCGTCGCCATGTCCAGTCAGCAGAAACTGAAAGGACTGGGCAAAGTGCACCTTTTGAAAGTGAAGTCAGAACGTTTCCAGAAGAGACGCTGAGAGGAGAATATTGGTCGTGACGCAAGATTCGGGTAAAGATTTGGAAATAAAATGCTCATTCAGGATGTTTACACTGTCCATATCATCTCAAAATATTTTTTTATTTGGTCAAATTAAAATGATGCCCAAGTTTTATTTGTTCAAATGTGTTCAAATGTGTCAACTCGATCTGTAGTTCCACCGCCCCCTCAAACCTTTAAGTACTTTTTTTTTTTCCAACTCAAAATCATTCAGCGTGAGACTTGATTCGATCGAGAAGAATTTCAAGCATCAGGCGGCAACACAACGAATAAAATCAAAGAAAAAAAAATTTCCAAATATTATGATTTCTTTAAGACTGCGAAACGTTTTTTTCTTTCCTAAATATTCAGGAATGGTTTGATTGAGGATTGTAATAGTAAGAATAATGATAATGCTTTTTTTTTTATAAATGATTTAATTAATTTGAATGACATATCCAGTGCAAAACGTCCTGTATATTAAAAAGAAAAAAAAATCACTATTTTATACAACTATAAAATTAATTAATTTAGAGGAAGAAAGAAATAGAAAAAAAAGTAATCAAATGAAAAAGAAAGTAAAAGAGAATAAATGGAAAACAAATAGAAAAGAGAAGTGCTTGTAATTGTGAAGCGACTTTGTGGACACACTGGATATCTCACCCGCCATTTTCTTGTGGTATACAAAAGGTCCCTAATCAAGTGGCTAACAAGACCGATTGCTTGACTTGCACTTACGACGTAAACAGAAGAGAAAGAAGAAACGTGTTGTCAAAGAACGTCCACCTAATTTTTGAATTCACTTTGGCACGTGTGCTCACCGGAAGGTTGCGCGCCGAGTCCAAGAAGACGACGAGGAGCGCCGAAGAGAGGCCGTCGTTGGCTTTGCCGCGGTCGGCACGGATGCTGGCCAGTGCCTGAGAATCAGGAAGCGAAGGAGGAAGTGACATCACGGCAGGAAGAAGGCAGGCGGGAGATGTTCCAGGCCTCCCCGCTCCTTACCTGGTCCAGCTTGTCGGGCGTGGACAGCAGAGACAACCACTCCAGCTTCATGTGCAACTTGCCGGAAGCCACGTCGTCCAGACTGAACCACTGCACGCACAAAAAAAAAAAAAACACGCCAGAGTGTCAGGACTCTTCACAATGCCACAGTAATATGAGGCGCTCTTCGCAGAGGATAAACAAGATGTGTTCCTCATCTGTTTGTGTTCAAACATCCCGTTGCTTTACAGGTTAGAACACCGCCGCTATTGATGCAAATGACTGTTTGGCCTTCCTTCCTTTGTACGGACGTATACAGCAAGGACGAAATAAATATGTTTCAAATGAACTGCAAAAGCTCACATTGAATATTAATAATTGACAGAGACAAAAAAGAAGGACATTTTCACTGTAACTATAGTTTTCATTGCTTTTATAAGCAGAAGTTTCAGTTAGTATCCTTCTTTTAAAGCATTTTCATTTTCTTATCGAGATAAAAACTTTTTTTCAATCAATTTTTTTAGTTTGTTAATTTTCGTCAACGACAATAACCGTGGTTAGCGTTAAGCTAGCTGAGGCTGCGCAGTTGTTTGAAAAAAAATACACGTCATTCACCGGAGAACTCCGACTTCCACTCATCACAGGGTTAACTTCCTCCGAGTTTTCCCGTCAAATGCTACGCGGAAAAGGATTCAGGTGTCAATCATGTCAATCAAGGGCTGCTTACCTCGTCCACTTTCTGCTCCTTGACAACCTCGCACAGGTCAATGGTCACGCTGGAACGACAACAGCCCAAGTCACGACACAACAACCATACAGGTCCTTGTTGACCTTGTGTTGCTACGTTGTGTCGCTACGTTGCGTTGCTACGTTGCGTTGCTACGATGCGTTGCTACGATGCGTTGCTGTTGATATTGCCTTGACACACCGATGTTGACTTCGTGTTGCGCTGACAGTGTGGTAACGTTGTGTCACAGTGATGTTGTGTCGAAATTGCCTCAATCCTGTGTTGTGTGATACTGTATCAGCGTGTGTTAGTATTGCGTCATGCACCTTCCCAGCACGTCGTCTTTGTCCGTGTCTTCGTCGTACAATTGGACCTCAAGATTTTGTCCCTCGGGGTCCATGACCTCCGCCTGCATGGCACAGCGCACAACCGTCAGCACGACACAATCCCAACGCTTCATTCCTGTCGTCTCACACGACACCGAGCGCACAGAGCCTCGTCACCTCATAGACGGCGTTCCACTTGGGGTTGACTGTCTCGTGGATGACTTTGCTTTGGAAGAGCTGGTTGCCCACCCGGATGACCCCGTACGGGTCCGACTTGCCCTTGATGAGGCCGCCCAGGAACTTGTCTTTACCCAGAAGGTCCTGCGCCTCCAAGAAGTGGATGCGCAAGATGCCCTGATGGCCGCAGGGTTAGCGTTGTGAGCACAGACAAGTCAGCAGAAGCCTGAAATTGTGCGTGGGGGAGGGGGGGGGGGCGTACTTGAGGCACGGGGAAGAGAAGGCGGCTGAGCTGGGCCTCGCCCACCAGAGGGATGGTGATACGGTTGGGCAGCACCAGGAAGCTGTAGATGATGTCCTGGATCAGGCTGTCGGACAAACCGCTGATGGCGATAAGAAGGAAGAACTACACTTAGACACAATAGAAAAAAAAAATACAGATGATGCCATTTCTGGAGATATTGCATGTTAATGTTGATGAAGTGAAGCTGAAAGGCTGTGTTATTAATTGCGGAATGAAGTGGAACAATATGGGGAAAAAATGTGAAATGTTACGTTACATTATGAGCTGCCCTGAACGAGAGGAACAATTTGAGGTTGGAATGGTTTGAAATAGTCACGAAATGTGTAAATTGGAGTCAAAAGTCTCTTGATTTTGGGGCTTTTATTTTGAAAATTGGGGAAGTTGAGGGAAATGGGAAAAAGCGGAACAGTCTGAGGTTGGAACAGTTTGAATAGGGCATGAAATATGGAAACCACAGGATAATGTGGGGAAAAAATTGGGGGATTTTATTTTGAAACAAAAAAATGTGGGGGGAAATGTGCGATTTCATGTCATTGTGTACCTAATGCAGTGGCCACCAGCGTATCTACAGGTTTAATTTGAAGTGCTTTGAAAAACCTTTTTGAGCCCATTTCCTTCAAACTGAACACCTGTCAATCACTACCTGTAACCACGAGTGGGCAACATTCGATGTTCATGTTATCTTGTGACTCAAATTGATCCATTTTAAGTGAAATAAAAAGTAAATGAATGATTTGGAGGGAGGAGGTATGAAACTTTCTTGGCCTAATAAGTATAAACTAAGACATATGGGTCATTTCACATGTTTGCGATTCAAAGATTTGATAATGGCGTCAATCGTAAGCTGTCATCAAGTTGTTTTACTGAAGTGACACAATTGTCCACTAGAGGGCGAAATGCTCAGCATAAATCCACTGTTGCGGGGAAACTCATCCACTTAAGGTTTTCTGTTTCCTGCAACTGTACCGCACGCGCGGAAAGATCTTTTTCGTTCTGAGTTAACTTGCCGACCACAAGACACTGGTGAACGCGCGCACGCACATACACACACACACACACACACACACGCGCGCGCGCACACACACTCACACTCACTCGTGAGACAGCACGTTCACTTATGCTGCAGTATTTCTATTGTAGGTGTGTTAACTTGGCAAGATATGCGCATTCCACAAAGAGACGCGCGCGCACGCACGCACAACACATATGCAGGCAGAGTATGAAAGTGAACAGGGTGGGAGCGGTGAAGGTCACCGGTGCTTGATCATACACGTATACACGCACGAAAATACACGCACACGCGCACGCACTCAGTCCCAGTAAGAAAGTGAAAAGGGCAGGGCAAGTGCAGTTCACCTGCATGATGGATCTCTCTCCCCCTCTCTCTCTCTCTCTCTCTCTCTCTCTCTCGCTCTCTCTCTCTCTCGCTCTCTCTCTCTCTCTCACACACACACACACACACACAGTCACAAAATGTTCAAAGGCACACATGCAGACGCTCAGAAGCACAAAATTCATCCACTCACTGACGCTTTCAGTCACACACTCTTACAAAGTCACACGCATGCACATATGCTCACTCATTCATTCACTCACCCACTCACTCAGTGGCTTCCCAGCACGCCCACCCTCTCACAGGAACCCACATGTACACTACCACAGGCCGAGTATGAAAGTGAAAACGGGCGTGGCCAGGCACTCGACTGCACACGCACGCCTCCGCCAAATGACACACACAGACCCGTCGAACGAGGACGGCGACATTTCAAAAGGCGGAGGGTCCGGCCCAGCCAGTTTGTAAGTGATGGAAACAAACAGGAAGTGAGCAGGAAGCGCCGCTCACATCCTCTCTGGCTTTTATTTATTCGAAAGGCCCCAAATTGTCGTTCTTCCACCGACGACGTGCATGCTGTTGACCAGATAAAAGCTTCAAAAAGCTTCAAAGCATGTGACGCATGCTCAAAAATGCGAACACATCCGGAAAACAAGAAGATTACATGCGAGACCCTTTTTACAGATACACACTTGTGTAGAGACTGAGTTGGGGTTTTTTTTGTTTTTTTTTTGGGGGGGGCAGGGATGTTGGTAATCTTTGCAAATACTCACACGCGCACGCACGCGCGCGCACACACACACACACACACACACACACCGACAAGGTGCTCTCCCTCCCTCTCTCTGACACACATACACTGTTCGCATTGTGTCCATCACTAACTCTGCCAAGAGCTAAATTATCTTAATTGCGCCAATAATCCCGCCACGTACTTGATCCCAGGAATGTCGAGAACGTTGGTCAGGCCTGTCCAGTTGATGTCCAGAAGCTGCAAGACAGAATCACAAAGACATTAAAAAGGGCATTTTTAGGATTTATCTTTCATAAAATTTTTGAAATGGTGTACCTAATCAAGTGGCCAATGAACAGAGTAGCAATGCACCTAATGTATGTTTGTGTGTGTGTGTGTGTGTGTGTGTGTGTGTGTGTGTGTGCG